GACTCCATGTCATCTCTACAAGAGTTTATAATGGGAAGAAATCAAAGATGAAGCTGGAAAGATAGACCAAGGTCACAGGGTAGAAGACCTTTACCAGGCTAAAGAGATATGGTGGAAGGAAGCTAGCCAAAAGCAATGGCAAATTTAGATTTATAACTCCCCCTCTGGAACAAACAAACAAACAAACAAACAAACAACTTGAGTCACTGTTGAGACCCTACAGAAGAGATTCAAGAGATTCAAGGGTCTGAGGGTTAATACAATGAATACTCAAAGGAAAACAGATGATTTCTAATACTTCTAGATGGTCCTCCAAGATTAACAGCATGGTACACTGGAAAGAGTGCTGGATTAGGAGTAAAAGGAGTTGGGTTCAAATCCTGATTCTGCTATTTAATTCCTTCGTGGCTATATTTCCCCTCTAGGCCTCAGTTGCCTCATCTGTAAAATAAGGTGTTGGGCTAGATGACCTCTAAGGTCTCTTCTAGCTCCAAACCTGTGAACAGCTTTCCCCTCCCCTATAAATAAACAGCAACGGCTAAGACACAATCATTAACCCAACAGCTCTGAGAGACTGTTAGCCTTTTTTCATTAAAGTAACCAAGCTGTCCAGGAGCCAGCCTTGACAATTTGAGCCATTATTGATTTTTTTAAATCAGGCAACTTTCAAAGGAAATTTATTATATTCTACAAAAAAAATAATTCTGGATTTACTACTAGTTAATACTAGTTGACTTGAATTTTATTAATACTAGACATCTACATATTGATTGCTTTTCCCCCCAAGAATAGCATAGTACAAATACTTCCCAAATAAAGCCCCCAGAGACTCAGGTATAAGGTAAGAATGAACTTGCCTTAAAACCTGGATGAATTGAATGGAATTGAATTTCCCAGGAAGGAAGTTTAGGGGAGTGGAAGGAGGAGACAGAGCCAGTGGCCAGTCAGCATCATTCATATGTAAGTCAGGGAAGAGCATCTGGTACTTGCAAAACAGGGGTAAATATTATAAAATACAGTATTTGAACTTGGATAGGTTCTTAGAGATTAGTTATTGCACTCCCCTCATTTTACAGATGAAAAGACTAAGGCCTCAGAAAGTAGTCATTTGTTCAAGGTCACAAAGGGTGCAAAGGTGCAGGGCCAGGATTTGAACCCAAGACTTCCTGACTCAAAACCCAGCAGTCTTTATCCCTGCCAGGTCATACTCAGCTTACAATGAAAGCAGACAAAAGCTGGAAAGAAATCATACTCTCTGGAGGAACAAAGGTGAATGATCTGACCAGAGTGTCAGCCCAACCAATTTTAAACCAGGAAGCTTACAATAAAGTGAGGAAAGCATGAGGAGGAGACTGTAGCTTCTGAATGGGCTTCCCCAAAACAAGTTTCTGTTCCCATTCCCTGGGGCAACACCCTAACTTAGAAAGGTTAAGGGCCTCAGACCATTTCCAGTCATGGCCTCCCCTTCCCCCACCAAGCATACATGTTTCTACTGAAAGGGACCCAGCATTTGAATTTTGCCAACTGTTTAATTTTCATCCAAGAAAAGTCTGTCTGACTACCACAAGGTTGTCTCTTCCCTGGTCAAGAAATAATCAGTCCTTCAGACACTGTAGGGAAAAATACAGCCACAACAACAGCCACTGGGCTATTTCAGGCAAGATATTTTACTGCTGCCTTATTACACAAACTGATTATGTTTAAAGCTCCCCGAGGAGCTGGGACTGGGGAAAAAAGGATCTTCAGCAAAGACCTCTGTTGGCATGGGCAAGAGGTAGCAGAGTCTCCTTGGGGAATTAACTTACTCAAATACCATCGATCAACATTTGAAAACCCACACAGATCACGACTAAGCCCTCAGCTTCATCCCTTGCCTGTAAAAAAAAAAGGGTTCTGAAAGAGTTAAAACTGTTCCCAAAAAAAAGGCTGAGCTTATTCTATCAAATGCTCCAGATGGAAATCGCAGAATTTCACTCCTCGGCTCTACTGTTCTCCTATGGCAAAAAAAAAAAAAAAAGACCCACAATGTTCTCAAGAAAGAGAATTTTTACTTCCAGGCACACAGTACAACTCTGTTTCAGACTATTCGTCCAGGAATATTTGCATTAACCGTCAATCACAAGCTTTTTGGGAGACTATAAAAACCTAAGAATATGAAAAAGTGGAGGGGGGTGGGTAACAGGGCCGAGAGGTGTCTGCAAATAAATGACAATAGCCTAGACCATATGAAGTTATATTAACTCACCCAAATATTACCCTTCCATCCTTGGTGACATTACCTATACCTCCGAATTGTATCAGCTCAAATCCCAGCTAAGGGACTAATACCCTAGGAAACCAAGGGGCCCCAGAAGCATGGCTAAGGAATTTGACCAGACACCAAACGCCTGAATTTTACTAAAGGAATCTGAATCTCCACAAGTCAAAAAACAGTGCTCTTGTTTTTACAAAGGAGACAAGTTAGGCTGTCTCTGAGGGCAGCCCCCAGCAAAACCACAAAGGGATTGATGAGGTTGGGCCTTACAGCCTCAAAAGTGCTATACTTCCCCACGTGGCTACAAAAACTAGGAAGAGAAGGAAAAAAAAACCACAAAGAAGGCAGAGAGGGTCTCAAAAAGTTCATTTTCATCCTAAAATTTAAAATTCATTCAGATAACTCTGAAGCAAGAGCAAGTAGAATAAGGAAACTGTATTCAACAACTATTGGAAACTCTTTGAGGGTAGAGATTTTGTCTTTTTCTTTTTTTTTAATTCCCAGTACCTAGCGGAACAAAGGCAGTGTTTGATAGTGGAAAGAGAACTGGACCAAGAATCCAAAGACCTGGGTTCTAATCCCAGTTCTGCCCCTAATTGGCTGTGTGACCTTGGGTAAATCCTTTAATCTCTGGGCCAGTTTCCTCATCTGTAAAATGAGAGGTTTAGACTAGATTATTTCTATGGTTCCTTCCAGCTCCCAGATTCTATGATTCTATACAATGTCACTGGGAAAAGACTGGAGGGAAAGAAAACTCTTCTATCTGTGGCAAGGTTAAAGAGAAACCTCAAAGATCCAATTGCATTACATCATCTCAGAGAGCAGTGTTTGTAAATATGCAAGTGTTTAATTCTCTGAGACACACAGCAGAATTTCCAGAATTCCTTTACCAACTGGATCAGTAGCTAAAATGGTTCTATTAACACCTTTCAGTCCTGAAGCTTCCTAAAAAATACGTGTGTAAAATCACTTTGTATTCTTAGGGGTGCTTCTGAAGAGAACCTGGAAAAGTGGAAGTTATTAACTCTATGGAAACAGTTCTGAACAGGATGTGAAGAGGGACAGACCTAGTTACAATGAGAGGGGGGATTCCAACCAGCAGAATTCAGCCAATCTGGACAGGACACAAAAGGTCAGTGGCCTATTGTTTGCAAAAAAAGTCAGGGCTTATCAACCAGGACAAGAGGCCAAGACCTCACTCAATTCTAACTCAAAGCCACACCCCTCCCAGCCCAGCACTACTCGATCTAGGATAGAGTTAGCTCCCTATCCCTGCTGTAAACCTACTGGGGCATTCAGTCAATTGATGAGAGACCTTTCAGAGCACACTCTAGAGGCGAGCCAACTGAGGAGATGAAGAGATCCCAGCATGGTAGGAACTGCAGATTAATCCTCTGCAGAAGTGATCAACTGGCTTCCCTTTTTAAAGGCTCCCAAGCATTGGTTGGAGGAAGGAAGGGTTACAAAGCTCTCCCTAAGTCCTCACTGTTGTAAAAAGGTTTCCTAACATAGATACAGGGAGAGGAGGAGGGGACACTTCCCTCTACCCTGAAACAAAGGAAAACCTAGATTTCCAGCCATGTGTTATAACATTCAAGGCCTATTTCCCCTCCCCCAGCTGATGTCTCACTAGACTGAGGCACAGTATCTCCAGCGACCGATTAGCTGGCCAGGTCGGGTAGCCACACAAATGTAGGTTGTGTGTTCCTCATTAACAGGCAGGAATCCAGGAAATAAAGGGCAGTAAGGAATCTGGGAATGAGCTACAGGAATGGGGATTCACTAATCAAGTCTATCAGTGGACCTAGGAGAACTGAGAACTGGTCACTTGTCCCTCTACAAGTTCACATTTTCATTCCTGTTTTGCAGGGAAATTATTCAGAGCTTCAAATAAAAAAGGAAAAGAACAAAGGGTTAAACATAGATCTTCCTTTCCCTTTTTCAGAACCACAACCCTAGGGGATGCACAATTCAATTTAAAACCCATATCACCACACACAAATTCAGGGTGGTGGGGGTAAGGTTGGAGGTGGATGCCTTGATGTCTACTCTCAACATAACTAGCTAATCCTAGATGTAGCTGGGCTACCAGGGACCAGGTAGGTATGCCTAGCCTAAGATGTTCCTAGATTGTCTCTTAATACCACAGCAAGTCTTACATTTTGGAATAGTTGCAGTAGGAAAAAAAAAACACCAAGAAAAAAACCATCCTTATAAACCCAACCTCTCTGCAGGAGCTTTCCAAATAGAACACCTTCTGTAGGTTGCCTTTCCCAGCCCGGATTAGTCTTCAGCGGGTGAAATGCATTTCCAAACACCTGTCAGATTTCAATCATTCTAAAGATCCAAACCCAAAAGCAGATTGCCCCTTTCATCCTTCCAAGGACCACGTGCCCCTCCCCCCTATCCAGTCCAGTCAAGGTAAGGGGGCACTTACAGTGATGGCCCGGCCCCTAGAGCAGACCTTAAAGCTCTGGAAAATCTCCATTAGTGCCTGTGGCCCCCAGCCCTGCCATCCTTGGATGGTACACACCCTCCTCTGCCCCTCACCCCGACAGTCTTCTCCTCTGAATAAAAACTCCCCCACCTGCTCTATCCAGGGAAATGAAACCTTCCCAAAGAGCCACAATAGCCTATATTTAAACATGTGAATTATATATATATATATATATACACACACACCTATATCTACAAGTACATATGAATAGATTTGTATATAAGTACAGTTATTTTCAAAATCACCTACCTTTGACCTGAGTATCGTATTCTGCTATGATCTCCTTATCCTTTTTGAATTTAGCTGGAGACGTCATGTTTCCTTCCTAATTCAGCTCCCGAATGGATAGATCCACTCGACAAAAATCAAACCACTGAAATTAAAATCCTCAAGATTTCCTCTTCCGAGGGTCGATGGGTCTCCCAGCAGAATCCAGCGCTCCGGGGAGCCTCAGTCCGTAGGAAGGCTGCCGGCTGGGGAGGCAGCAAGCGGCCAGCGCGGCGGGAACATGCAGATGTTGGGGGTGGTGGGGGCCGGGGCGGAGCAGCGGCTTCTGATTCCTAGTGTCGAGCTCCGAGCCGCAGCATCAGCATCAGCCAGGGGAGCCGCAGCGCCGGGAGGCTGTCCTGGGCACTGACATCAACGACACAGGCAGGGAGTGGAAGTCCTTCCGCACAACAACATGGTGTGGGGGTGTGGGGCTGTGTGTGCGCCTGACTGTGTCAGTGTCGGTGCGAGGGTGTGGGTGTGTATCTGGGCGTGTGTGTCTCTGTCTGTCTGTATGTCTGTATGTATATATGTAAGTGTGGGGGGAGAGTGGATGGTTGCTTCTTTTTTTGTTTTGTTTTGTTTTACGGGCTCCTGAGATGATGCAAATCAAATCCCAAATGGGAGCAGCAGCAATGCAGGATCGGAAGTCGTTTTCTTCGGTTCACTTGCCTGTAAATGCAGGAAAAAAGGGGGGGGGGAGAAGATGGAGAAGGGGGTATCAGCCGGAGTGCAGATACCAATACGCAGGCTGAGGGTGGGGGAGACGACGTCTCCCCAAACTAGGGACAGCTGAGGCCAAGCCCCATTGACCTCCACCCCAGAAGGGTGGGCAGGAGGGTGGTGGAGGGAGGTGCAGCAAGGTCAAGAGAAAGGGGAAGCTCCCTCTGAATTAAAGAGACAAAATCACTTCAAAGCATCTGCTCGCTCGGAGCCAGGGGAAGGCTGCAGAGAGGCTCAGCCTAAGCCCATCAAACTGCTGCAGCCACCCACTCCCACCCGCCCCAAATCTTGCCAAACCTGAGCAGTGCCCAGCCCCAGCCAAAGCTTTCCTGGTCTGGACCTCGAAGGCCCCTCACAGATGTGGTGGCCATCGGACCCCGCCCCAACCCCAGTATCTCCCCTAGACATCAAAAGGCGATCAAAAGGCGAGGGCGGGGGGAGGGGGGTTGCGGATGCAGTTCCCAGCAGGGACAAGCTAGTAGCACACAACTTTTCCTCCCCTTCCTCCTCCTAGCTGTTTTGTTTTTGGTTACGAGCTTCCCTTGGCAGCAAATGTAAAAGGCGGGGGGATATCACGGGGAGGGCGAAGTCTGCAGGGAAAGGGGGGGAGGACCCTACTCTGCACCGGCTACATCTAGAGGAAAAATGTGGCCGGCGAGGCAGGAAACGGGGCTGCAGAGTCCGGCCAGGACACAGCCAGCAAAGCGCGGGAGGGCAGCCCTGCCTTCAGCCTTCGCCTCCCTCCCCTTCTTCCCCCCACTTCCCAGGAGCCTGCTTTCCTGCCTTCCCCCCGCCAGCCCCCCAGCCTAGCCCATCCAGGCCTGCGGGTAACGGCCCCTAGCGAGCAGGGGAGCCCCCTCCTCCACCAGCACTCTCAGCCACATCCCCGCCGCCAAATTCCAGATCCCAGAGCCCTCTTTCCCCTGGGGGCGCATTTTCCAGGCCCGGCTTCTCACCCCCTAAAGGTTCCCGACAGAAGGAAAGCTCGGGGAGACGCGAGCCGACTCCAACGCGAGCCGGGGAGCATAGCGGGCTGCAGGGCGTGCAGGCAGGCAGACCCTCGGACGCCCCTCTCCTTCCTTCCTTCCCTCCCGCCTGCCCTCTCCGCTGCTCTGCGCGAGAGGAGCCCGCCTGTGTCTCCCCCTTCCCGCGATCGAAGGAAAGGACAGCGGGAGGAAGGGAGGGGGAAAGCAAGGAGGGAGGAGGGACGGCGTGACTCCGGGAGGCAGGAAGAGGGGGGTGGGGGATGGATAAAGGGGGACGAGGTGGGCTCCTCCACTTGGCCGGGGGGAGGCGGCTGCTGGGGTTGGGAGGGAGCGAGCAATCACTAGGCTGATTTCCCGAGAGGGGCGCGCTCCTGGGGCAAGGACTGCCCGATCCCGGAAGGCTGGGCCAGTCAGAGGGCTGGACCGAGGGAGGGAAGCAGCCGCAGTCAGGGCGCAATTCCCGGGAGTGCGCTGGGAAGAGCGAGGCACGAGGCGCCTGGCTCCGTGCGTGTACTGAGTGCAGAGGGACGGACAGACGGTGCCGCCTGCCGGGCTCGAGAGGCAGTGGGTAATTAATCAGTGCTGCCTACCGGGAAGGGGAACGGGCTGCTCCACTGGCTAGGGGGGGCTGTCAGGTGCCGGCGGATGTCGGAAGGGGCTTTGGGAGCCGCGCCGCGGGAGTGCAGGCGGACGCAGACCAGGAGAGGGCGAGGGGCTGTGCACAAGGGATTTGGGAAGGGTCTCCCAGAGCCTGGACCGCCGGCTGCCGAGCAACGGGATGGCGGAGAAGCCAAGCGGGCAGCGGATGCCGCTCTCCTTCCCGCCCCAGTCTCCGTTTCCCTCCTGAAAACCAGGAGGAAGAAAAGGGGGAAGGAAGGAGCCTTTACCTGGCTCCGGCGCGGCTGGGTCCCCCGGCCCCGTGAACGCTTTCCCTTCTCAGTTCCCGCCCATCCACCCGCAACTTTGCAGCTCGCTTCCCTCCCCCACCCCCTCTGCGAGCCTCCGCCCGCTCAACAAATTGATCAGGCAGAGCAAACCCACCGGCTTGCCAATCATTGCCCGCCGCCTATGGACTGACGGACGCTGGAGCCATTAAAAAAGGCTGATCCCGCCCCTCCACACCTACCCAGGAGGAAGGTTGGGCTGGAGAAATCAAAGGGCGTGGGCCATCATGCAAAGGCGGAGTCTTGGAATGGGCCCCACCCCTCCAGACCTCCAACTAAAGTTAAAAAAAAAACTAGGGAGGTGGGAACAAGACGCTCAGCAACCACACGCGAACTCGACAGGGTAGACAGAACCAATTGGGTAGTGTCAAGGGGGCGAGGCGTTGCGGGGAATTTTCGCCAATAGAGAATAAGAGTCTGAGGGGAATGTCTAACGTCTTCCAATTGGAAGCTTGAAGGGCGTACTCTTTCCTTTTCACTGGGGCAAAAGAGAGGACTTGCCTCAACCTCCTTGAAGCCCACCAATCAGAATCGGAGGCGTGGCCAAATTCTTCCAACTGGCAAGCAGGATCTAACAGACACCGTTGCCAAGGCGGGCTAGGCAAGGTTCTCCTCCACTCAGGTTTTTCACCTGTAGGCGTGTCCAGAATCTTCCAATGGGGGAAGAAGGCGTGTCCCGGATTCCCCCCAATAGGAGCGCGACGTTGGTAATTCAAACTGACAGCCGGTCAGGAAAGCCAAAGGAGGAGAGTGAAAACGGCGTGTCCGGTGACAGGAGCCCCGCGAGGACCGAGCCGAACTGACCTGCCCAGCCCTGCCCCGCCCCGCCTTTTCCAGGGCGCGCCCCGGCGCGTGCGCGCCTGACCGGTCCAGTTCGAGGGGGAGAGAGCGAGCTGAGGGAAGTGGGGCGTCGAGGGAGAGAGGGCAGAGCTGAGGATAGGGCACCTCGAGGGAGAGAGAGCTGGGGGGGGGCAGCTGTCCAGGGAGAGAGAGAGAGTGCTGAGGGGGATCATTCAGGAAGATAGAGAGAGGATAGAACAGTGGTATCAAGGCCGAGAGAGGGCCATCAGGGCGGCTGTCCAGGAGGAGAGGTCGAGATTCGAGAGGAGGCATTACTGGAGGGAGAGGGAGCTCAGGGGTGCCATCGAGGAGCGAGAGAGAACTCCGTGGCAGTATTCAAGAAGAAACAGGGAACTGTGGGCGGACGCCCCCGGAGTGAGGGAGACCTGGTACCCAACACGACGGAGGACCCCAAGGGAGGAAGCCCAGATAGCGAGGGAGAGGGTAGAGCCGAGATACCCAAGAAGAGACAGGGAACTGAGCTGCTTAGTCCAGGAAGACTGGGTGAGAACCGACGAGAGGCCCTCAGACAGGTCGAGAGTGGTCAGGTTCGCCCAGGAAGAGAGGGAGCGCCTCGACGAGAGGCCCCCCGTCAGAGAGAGGGATTTCAGGGGCTTCCTCTACGAAGAACGAGAGAGAGACCAGGAGAGGTTTCCCAGGACCAGGGAGAGGGTGCTGAGAAGCGCCGTCCAGGAAGAGAGGGAGCGAGATGATAGCAGGCAATTAAGGAGGGGTCGGGAGAGAGAACCCAGGGGAAGCTCCCAGAGAGAACAGATCGAAAGTCGGCAATCCAGCGAGACTGACTTGAGGGAGATTATCCAGGAAGACAGGGAGAGGTCTGAGAGGAGACTGACGCAGAGAGAGAGGGAGCTGAGGGCGATCATTCAGAGAGAAGCACAAATAGCTGAAGGGAGGAGTATAGGGAGAGAGAGAGAGCTGAGGTGGTCCATCCTGAGGGACACAGAAAGAGCTGAGAGGTCTATAAGGAGAAAGAGAGAGCTGAGGGGAGCCATTCAGAGGGACACAGAGAGAGCTGAGAGGAGGAATATAAGGAGGGAGAGGGAGTTGAGGGCGAACATCCAGAGAGAAAGAGAGAGGGACGTGGGGAGAGAGAGGAAAAGATCGAATCAGGGTATCCTGTTGAGGGCGACAGCGAACTCCGAGACGGGCACCCATCTTGCACATCGCCCCCCTAGTGTATTAACTCTGCCACAGGGAGAGAGCAGTACCTTCCAGGGAAGGAGAGAGACGATTAGCGGAGGCCTACAGAGGGAAAGAGAGAGTATTGAAAGGTATATTCTGAAGAGAGAGGGAGTTCCTGCCGGGAGGTCCAACAGGAAGAGTGTGAGCTCCCTGAGGTAGCACTTGAGAGTGATTGTGTTGAAAAATTCATCTAGAAAGACAAAGCTCCAGACTCTGAGGGGGAGAACTAGATTTGGGGGCAGAGGAGAGAATACCCAGAGAAAACTGGGAAGGGGCCGTCACTCTGCAGAGAAAGAGAGCTGGGAGTATAAATAGTGCTGAAAAGAGGAGTCCACCAAAGTTTAGGGGAGAAGTTTCCGAGGGAGAAAGTGATCAGAGAGCCCTGGGGGAAGTGAAGGCTTTAAGAAAACAGGAGATGAGGAAGCCTGAAAGGAGAAAGTTTTAGAGATAAAGGATAGAGTAGAAGAGAAATCTGAGAAAAAATAATTATTGAGACAAAAGTTAAAAAGGAAAGTTTCCATTAAAGAAAGGAGAAAGGGGGAAAACAGCTAAGAAAAAAAAAAGGTACTGACAATTCAGCAGCTCATCTCCCCCCACACTCTACTCTCTGAGCAGTTAAGGGGGAAAGAAAGTTTACTGTTTCCCTGGCTCCTACCACAGAGAAAAGAACTACGTGTACCTTTCCCTCAGTCTGGACGAAAGGTCTAATTTCTTGCTAAGGCTTTACTTCCAATCTTCCAGTTTGGGGTTCCTGGACTGAACAGGGCAGAGGCCCTGCTTCCTTTTTCAAAACCCTCTCTCCTAATCCTCTCTGAGTCGTCATGTCTACCAGCAATTATAGCTTCAAGAACCGGTGTGTATCTATCCTGTGCTGCAAATTCTGTAAGCAAGTGCTCAGCTCTAGGGGGATGAAGGCTGTCTTGCTGGCAGACACTGAGATAGACCTTTATTCTACAGACATTCCTCCAACCACGTAAGTCAAGCTGATTAGGGGTAAGGAAATTTCAGTTCAATGGTAGCCCTTTAACTAGAAGGGGAGGGTTGAGACTGGCCCTCTGGAAAACAACAATGAGGTTATCATTTTGGAGTGCCAGCCACTCCCAACCTTAGATTTAGTATCTGATGATCCTGTTGGAGCAAAACTGAGTGGGTTGAATGTCTGGACATGGTCTGTGGTTTAGCCATAGTGGTCAACTATGATTCAAGACACCAACTCAATTACATCTGTGTGACCACACAGCCTTTAAGTCTAAATTCTGGCACTCTGCCCTACTATTCCATTGCATCTAGTATTCAGTGATTTAGTGGACAAGTCCTATGTGATGCACTTCATTATTTTCTAAACTTTCATCTTTATTGAACATGAAAATGAAGGAATATTATTGAGAGTATGATTGGCCCAAGGGATGGCAAACAGCTATTCTTTATTCCTATTTACAACAGAACCAAAGGAAATAGATTAAAATGGAAAGAACCACTAAGATTTACTATAAATAATAATTTCATGATACTTGGCAAACACTGTAAAAGGTAACCAAATGGGGTTGTGGAATCTTTTTATCTATACTTCAAAAATAGGACAGATTCTGATCTGTCTGTTGGTTTAAGTCCGGTCCTGCTTGCTGGCAAGGATTGTGTTGGATTACTTCTGTAATTAAATTTTGTGTTTTATTATCTAATGCTTTTCTTTTTAGGAGCACATACATAAAAACTTTTGCAATATCAGTCCATGTATCTGTACAGTAACCATAGTAATAAGTATGTTATTATAAGAGTAAATCATTATGATATTAAGTATATGGTGATGATGCTCAAATTTATGTAGCATAGTAGAAAGAATATTTTTCTTATACTCCTGCTGTGAGGTAGGTAATATCAGTATTATTATCCCCACTCTGCAGAAGAGGAGTCTGAGACTCAGTGAAGTTACTCAGCTTCTCTAGAGTCACAGGCTAGTCCATGGCAGAGCCAGACTTCTGACTCCTGGGTCCAGTGCTCTGTCCACTTTAGCACATCATCTCTTGGTTCACATTAGAGTCAGGGAAGCGGAGGTTCAAAAAGGCAAATGGCTTGCTGGTGATCTTACAAGTTAGTACCAGAGGGTCTAGAACAGAATCAGGGACCTTCATCCTGATTGCTGTTCTTGTTAGCTTGTGAGAGATGGGAGTGTAATAATGTGTTGAAATATATGTAGATCAATGAACACTAGAAAGAGAAAAATGAAAGATTTATTAGAAGTTCACGACAAGTTGGCAGATATTAAATGGCCATCATAAAATACAATGTAGTTCTGCCTGTAGGCCAACTCTTTAAGGTCTCTTCCAAGCCTTTGACTCTACCCAATCAGAGCTGCCTCACTGATCAAAAGAACAACTAACTATCCTTACATGTTTTCCCTTCTAGTGCTGTGGACTTCATTGGAACCTGTTATTTTACTGAAATCTGCCAATGCAAACTGAAGGACATTGCCTGTTTAAGATGGTAATTTATGGCACTGTTTTTCTTTACCTGTGGATTGGGAGGACAAGTGTTGAAGTTGAATTAGAGTGAAATTCAATGGGTTACACTTAGCACTGGTTGCCATCTGAGGGTTGAACTATGGATTCCTGTTCCCTGTGAAGGGCGCATTGAAAAGCCACTCAGAAAAAATAATTATATGAAAATTTATTAAATTATAATTTAAATTATCATCAGTTCAGGATGAAGTATGGTAGAAAGACATGAAAAGACAGACGGCATAGTGAAGTTCCCAGGGCACTAGACTTGGAGTCAGAGATACTTGTCTTCAGATCCTGCCTCCCAGACATTTATTGACTGTGTAGCCCTGGATAGTTCACTTAACCTCTGTCTATCTTAGTTTTGTCACCTGTAAAATAAGGAGGTTTGACTCTATGGCTTTTAAAGTCCCTGCCAGCACTAACTATAAGATCCTATGAGAAGTAGTAACTGAAATAATTCCACCTGTTCGCTGAGTTTAACATATGACCAGATAATAGAATGATTTGTGAAAAATTCAGAGCTTCTATCATCAGCTGACTAACACTGAGAAGGGTGAAAATTCTTGCAAATGCCACCATTCATTGTAGATTTGCCTTACTTTTGAACATTTTCAAAAACAGCAAAGTCTAAAACTAGAGTAGCCAGCTTGTACTTAGTTTGCAGGGACACATGTTGTCCTCCTACTTCTCCATCTGGTGGATCAGTTCTTGGGTGGCAACAGAGAACTAGAACGTACAAGAACCCAAAATCACACTAGAGCCTCAAGGTAAAGAAATCTTGAACCTAAAGGGCTAATGATATTTGTTCAGTATGTAGTAGTAGTAGTATCCAGAGTATCTTGGTGTCTTACAGAACAAACTGAAATCACTGCTCTGCCTTCTGAAAACTAACCACTGAAGTGAGAGGCACAGCTGGTATATGATATTAATTTTTGCATAGCCCTTGAATATACATCAACTCAGCTGATCCTCTCAACAGACTTGTGAACTACACAGTACAGGTATGGTTATCCTTGTTTTATAAATGAGGAAATGGAGCCTCAGACAGGTTGTGTAGCATAGTCACTTACCAAAAGTCTCATAGCCAATTCAAAGCAGAATCAATACTTGAACCTAGACCTTGACACCAACTCCGTTGTTCGTTACACTATACCATACTACCTCTTTACTGCTGGGTATCTAAAGAGTTATGTTCTAAGAACTATAAAAAAAGACAGAGTGAATTTTTTTGTTACTCAAGTCTATCTGGTTGGGATACTTTTGAAGGAGGTAGAATCTTAAGTGAGTCTTCAGTACTTCCAAGGATCTGTCATTTCATTGGTGTGGGTGTCTCTTCCACTGCTGAAGCTCCAAACCATTATAATGGACGGTTTCCATGAATGGCCAAAAAATAATAATGATGATAATGATCATTTTGTGAGCAATCTTCTGCTAATGAGTTTCTGTACATTTGTCCCACTCCTTAGATGACAATCTTTGGTTCCAAACTCAAAGCCTTTCCAACCTGGTGAGACCTTCCAGAGTTTGCATTCTACTTGGGATAAAGTTTAAGAACCCAAAGTCCCTACAACCCAGATGCATCATGCTGAAGCATCAAGTAGGATTTTAGTGGAGTGTCTATAAAATAGAAATGGAAATGGGTTAGTTGTTGTAGCAAAGAAATATTGTTTCAAGTATAAATAATAAATTAGACAAAGTTAGCCTGCTTTCTTAATAGATTATAAGATATTAGCCAAGAAGTTTGGGAATGTAATAATATAAAGTAGTTGCTGCTATTTTCCTTAGAATCTTAGAATTTAGAGGGAAGCAGAGGTCACCTAGTCTAGGAATTTCAGCTGCAACATCCCAGTCACTCTTCTACTTGAAAAACAGTTGTGATGTTTGAACTCCCAAAATCCCTTGGTCCAACCCCACCCCAGCTGTCCATTGCGTTTGAGGAAAGTTCTAATGCATAGGAAGTTTTTATTTATGTCAATTCAAAATGTTTCCCTGTAACTTTTTGCCCTCTAAAGTAAGTCAAATCTCTCCCACATGACAACTCTTAGTATATTTGAAGTTGTATATCGCTAAGGAATGAATTCAATCATTATCTACATAATTTAGGCCTTAGTTCCTTACCTTTTCTTGCCTTCTACCCCTACACAAGTTTTGGGGTGTGAATTCAGAGAACCACAGATTTAGAGGTGGAAAAGTCGTTTGAGGTCATTTAGCCCATATATATGTATTTAGCTATACACTTAATATACGATGAACGGCTATTTGTTCCTGCCAAGCTCTCTTCTCTGGGATAATTATTGCCAGTTCCTTTTGCCCTTAGCCCACAAGGGGTACCAGAAGCCTCCAGGGGCAGCCCATTACTTTTGGGGGTAGCTCTAATTATTAGGAAATTTTTCCTTAAATTGAACCAACATGTCGTTCTCTGAAATTTCCTTTTATGGCATGGTTTTGAGTTCTTCTACCATCCTGGTCACCCTCTTTAATTCCAGTTTGTCAATGTCCTTCCTAAAATATTGCACCCAGCATTGTACACGGTACTCTAGGTATATGTTTCACTTGAGTTTCTATAAATTGTACATTGTACATCTGTTGATGCAGCCTAAGATCGTGTTTTCTTTTTTTGGCTGCCACATCACACTGATGATTCATATTGATCTTTTAATTTCCCTTCCTTCCCTCCCCCATGCCTCATGAATGTTAACTCCTTGAGGCTAGGGACTTTTTGTTTTTATCTTTCTTTCCACATCACCTAGCACCATTCTTCCCGTCTATCATTTAGCACTGTACCTCATACATAGTAGGTACTTAATGTTGGTTGAGTTAAATTGTTGAACTGAATAATCTGGTCTAGCAAAACCCCTATATCTTTTTCACACAAAGTGCTTTCTAACTATGCTCTCCCATTTCCCCTACCAACCCCCCTCCCCCACAACCTTGTCCAATTATTCATATAGTACATCTTTTTCAACTGAAGGGTACAACTTTATACTTATCACTATTAAATTTTATCTTGTTGTCTTTAGCCTACCATTCCAGTCAGTCATATTAGGAATAATAACTTACATTTGCAAATATGCAAAGCACTTTACTATTTTATCCTATTTGTACCTCAAAACAATGCTATGAGATATTATTGTCCTCATTTTAAATTTGAGGAAACTAAGGCTCAGAGGGCATAAGGGACTTGCCCATCATCATACAGCCAATAAATATTAGATGCAGAATTTGAACCCATCTTCTTGACTCCAATAACAGCATTCTGCCTAGTGTACCATACTGCTTTTCCTGATTTCATTATCAACAATATTTAGCTGTGACTCCCAATTTTATGTCATCTGCAAATTTGTTACACATGGTACCTATCACTATGATTATGTAAAGTTATGACAATCATTAGAACAATGTGACTTAATGGAAAGAATACTAGTTTATCTAGCTTAATTTTTTATATGTATTTTCAGTTATTCTCAAATTATAGTTCAACTACACTTTTCTAGAAGTTCTTTTTGAGTTAGATGCTGTCTCAGAATATATTCTGTTTTCTTGTCTCTGTCCTTGCTTACACTCAGAATTAAGGTACATTGATAGATTGACAAACCATTTTCCCCACAGTATGTATTAAATAAATTCATTAAAAGATATATATGATTGAAGAGCATTATATGATTGAATATGTTAGAGAGAGCTTTCATTTTATTGCATTATTTGGGAAGCCATGTATTTGAAATAAGGATATTATTAAATTACTGCTTAATATTTAGTAATCACAAATTAAAAAATCTAGAAACTGTTTAGAGAAGGGGAAAAAAAGAAAGAATATTCAACTAGGAACCATAGGGATTCTATTCAAATGCTGATTCTGCTGTTTCCTACCTTGTGTGACTTTGGGAGAGATACCTTACAGTGCTGGGCCTCAGCTTTCTTCTGTATTAAAAGGGGTGGGCTAAATGACCTTTAATGACCTTTCCACCTCTAAATCCGAGGTTCTCTGAACTTATACCCCAAAACTTGTGTTATTGAGGGGTAGGAGACAAGAAAGGGTAAGGAATTGAGGCCTAAATTATACTAATAATCAGTTTACATTGATTGAATTCATTCCTTAGCTTTACTAGTGTAGATATACCCATAATATAGCCCCTCCAGCGTCACATCTCTACCAGACAGACACCTCCCTTCTTTGTATCCCTTGGAGTTGTAGAAAGATAGCTAAACTGTAGTCCTAGATCTTCCATGTCCTCAGTTACCTCATTTGTAAAATTAGAGGATTGGATTAAACTCCTGAGGGCCTTTTAGGCCTAAAGCACAATCATCAACAGAATCTCAAAATTTCAGAGTGGGAATGGAACTTAGAAGCCATCTAGTCCACCACCTAATTAAGACTCTCCCTACAATATTCCCTTCAAGTATCTTTGATTGAAGGTCCAATGGAATGTAAACTGCTTAAGGTCAAGGACTGTTTCATTGTTGTCTTTTTATTTGCTGCACTTAGCACAGTTTTAGGCTCTTTGTAAGCACTTAATAAATACTTATTGAATGAATGAATATTACTCAAAAGGTGATGATTCTTGTTTTCTGTTTTAGTGGGAACATTGTAGGTTACCATGTGATCGTTCCATGCAAACCCTGCCTTCTTTCTTGCAACAACGGGCATTTCTGGATGTTTCATAGTCAGGCAGTTTTTGGTATCAACCGGTTAGACTCCACTGGTAAGAAACGTTGCTGACAGATTTTTCTACCTTATCTATAAAACACAAAAATAATTAAAATTGCCATTGTCAGCTATAGGATTTTAGGGTATCTTAGCAGGATTAGAATAAAGCTAGATGAAAATACTTAAAATTACTAGCTAACATTTGTTCCTGAATTACTATAAAGGAAAACATTTATTGCAGATTGAGCAAACCACGAATATAACAATTAATCTATTTTTAACAATAACCTCTCTCAGGAAGCTCCCCCTAACCTAGATTACTGGACTTTGAGATATCAGTTTTCCTGCTTATGTTAAATGAAACCCTGAGATCTCTACTGAAATTTAAATCCTTTTTTCTCAAACATTCACTTATGGAGAATATTGGCAAAAGTCCATTATCATTTTTGTGTTTTGTTGTCTAATGGTCCAAAGTTGCCTAGATTCTTTTTTTCAATTGATTAATATTTTAACTGTTCTGTCCTGTTCTTCTACACACATTCTTACTCCAGAGAGTTTTTAAAAGACCATTAGATTTAAAAGCCATTTGATTTCCTGTGAGTTTTTTGTTTTTTAATGTTATCTCAGATTTAAAAATAGTTTTGATGTGATTTGCCCATATTAAAAGGATTGTAGTCATTTCTTCTGATACTTTAGTGAAGAGAATGTAAATATTTGACTCTAAAAAAATTGTTACCTTTACTAATTACTTTGATAAGAAATTGCACTGCCAATGCTTTCTGGATATTTACATGATACATTTTATATTGCTTGGAGCCATTCATGTAAATACATGTTCTAATTGTCTAATGCTATTTTGGCTCTGAAGAAAACTTGATGGTCTGAGTCAATACTAACACCAAAATTTTACTTGATTTTTTTGAATATATATTTAGGAAGTTTGGTGGAGTTTTTTAGGAGAAAGAAAACCTTAGGCATAAAAAATGGTAAAAATTATTTCAGTGTCCAAAATGTGTGTCTCTGAGCCCTCCCCACACACCTTTTCTATAGACTGAGATTCAGTCATCATCTGGGACCTAAGCTTGGTTCCCATAAGCTATCATTCAAGGTCCTAATTTAAGAATCTAGTCGTTAAAACAGGCTGTTTGCACTTAAGTGCCAATCTGAATTCCCTCATGTGAGATTTAAGCTCCTAATTTAAGCCCCCAGATGTATATTTGTGCTAATCATGGGGCACATGGGGCATATTAAGGGAAGTTTTTGCTTTGATATCATTTTTCCTGTATTCAAAACACAGGGGTTTTTTTTTATTATTTACTTTAATATTGGTTAATTTTTCAAAGATAAAAGCACTGCATTCTTCCATTCACATAGAATCTAATCCATGAGAAACAGATGTATCACAGGATTTCCTTCCTCCCTTCTTAACAGAGAAAGGAAGGTGCGGCTTTTGTCAGATCCAATCTCTTAGTTTATTTTTCCTCCTTTGAAACAATTGTGCTAAACTACTTCATGTCCCTGAGTGTTGACTCCAAGAATTCTTCATAGCACTGATATTGTAACTGAAGCGATTTTTTTTTCTAGAAACTTGCTTCTGATGGCATGGTAACTATCCTTGCAAATCTCCTGGGCAGCAGGATCAAAGGACTATCCATGAAACTTCAGAAAATCCCAGACTTCAAAATGATGTCTCTTCTAAACCCAAACCTGACTTCAGGCAATAACCCCTCCCAGAAAGACTGTTGTTTCCATTATTACAGAGGGTTCCCAGAAAAGCTTCCAAAGTCTTCCTAGATAACCTGTCCTAAAATCTCACAATTGCCAAAGTGGGGAAATTTTTCCTAACTTAGTAGGTCCTCTACAAATTTATGCTCTTTAAGCCTGAGTCAGTCCTCACTGTTGCCCTACAGTCTTTAGGCATCTCATGATCACACTCTGTATGGTGAATGCTTTCACTCTTTCTAAACAACCAAATTTAGTCCCACCCCCTTACTCTCAGATGAGTGCTGCCTCCTACTCACTGGGCAAATTGAGACAAACAGAACTGGACTTCTTCAACCCCTCTAGATGTGCTCCAATGTTTCTGTATCTTCACCTTTCTGTCTTCTTGCCCTCCTCTCTTAGAAGAGATGTTGGTTTTCCTTAGAAAGGCCAAACTCTCCACCTACCACTTCATTCGTATCCTCCCAGCTCATTCTCAAACTTGTTTTGTTTCTCATTCTTTCTTCCCATCTCTTTCTCACCACCCATGGCATCTTCAATCTTTTCTTTTCTGTTGGCTACTTCGAACGGGATCGACTCTTCCTTGACCAAAAAGGAAATATTAGGCCTAAGACCTTGCTAATCCCTTGAGCTTTTATATCATCTCTATGTCCTTTCAGTCACTCTCAAGGAAGAAGGGTATAGAGAGTATCCATTTACTTCCTTACTCTAAACCCCCTGGCAAGCTTCTGTAATAGTTTCATAGATTTAGAGCTGGGAAGGAACATTTATAGGTCATCTAGGCCAACTCTCTTATTTTGCAATTGAGGAAATGGAGTGAGGCCCACAGGTAGTAAGTGGCAGAGCAGGAATTCAGGTTGAGGCCCTGTACCTCTAAACCTAGTGTTCTTTCCATTGCACCAGCCTGTCTTCTACATCCTAGTGAAACTACTCTCAAAGGTCGTAACAACCTTATAATTGACAATGCAATAGCACCTTCTTACTCCTTTTGCAGCTACCCAATAGCATGTGACCCTCCTTTGCTATTCTCTTCCTTAGGTTTCTATGAAAACTGAACCCTTGCAGTCCTTATTAAATTACTGATGACTGCTACTCTTACCTCTTCTTCATCCTGATATCTAAATGTAGAAGTTCCCCAAAATTCTCTTCTCTATATATGATTACTTCTCTCTATGTTATTACTATGCCTTCATCTATTTCTTCTATGTGTATGACTCCCTGATTGAGATCTCTACCCTCACCCTGCCCCCACCTCCCACCTGAGCACCAGACTCAGATTTTTGACTCACAATTAGATATCTTCAGTTGGGTATCCAGTACTCCAAGCTCAATATGTCCAAAATGGAATTAGTCGTATCATGGTGTCTCAGAGTTTGAAGAGACCTCAAAGGTCATCTAGTCTAACCCATCCCTGACAAGTGGTCATCCACCCTCTACTCAGAAAACTCTAGGATGGCTACTGTCTCCCAAGATAGCACATTCCACTTTTGAAAACTCTAATTATTAGGAATCTATCTGCCTGCGATTTCCACACATTTCTCCTAGCTCTGCTCTGTGAAGCCAGATAGACGCCTCTTCCACATCCCTTTTAATACTCCAAGATAGCTGTTATCTTCCCCCAAAGTCTTCTTACCTTTAATACTTGAATGGTATGGTTTCTAGTCCTTTCAAAAGCTTGATTACCTTCCTCCAAATGAACTCTAATTTATCAATATCTTTCTTGAAATTGTTCCCAGAAATGAACACAATACTCCACATGTGGTCTGACCAGGAAAGGGGCTATCATTTTCCTTGTTCTGGACTAGGCCACACTGGACTTGGCATCAGGAGTTAGCATTCCTGAGTTCAAATTCTGCTTCTGACACTTCCTAGTTTTGGGACCCCAGGCAAGCTACTTAAACTCTCTCAGCCTTAGTTTCCTCATCTGTAAATGTAAAGCGCTTTGCAAACTTAAAATCACCATATAAATATTATTATGTCTCTATTAATATAGCCCGTAGTCACTAACTTTTGGCTGCCATGTCACCTTGTTCAAATTGAGCTTGCTATCCACTAGACGCAGGTCTTTTTCATCGAAGCTGCTGTTTTAGCCACGCTTTCTTCCATCCTCTAGTTGTCTGGTTGATTTTCTTTAACCCAAGTATAGGATTTCATACACCTATTAAATTTCACCTTATTCAACTTAAGCCATTTTTGATCCTGATTCTGGCATCCAGTATGTTAACGCTCCCTTTTAGCTTCATGTTGTCTGCAGATTTGATGAGCTTGCCGTCAATCCATTCAGTTAAGACACTGATAAACACATAGAAGGTCCATAGAGAGATCACAAGGGCACTCCACTAGAAACCTCCCTGTAGGTTGACATTGATACATTTATCACTACTCTTTAGTTCATTCAACCATTTCCAAATCTGCCTAACTACTATATACTCTCAATTAACTCATATTTCTCCATCTTCTAAGGATCTCATAAAAGACTTTGTCAGAGGACTTTGTGAAGCCCAAGTATACTTTGTTGGTGGCATTTCTAAACTCTAGGTCATACTCAACTAATCTTCCTCTTTTTTGGTCAGGGTTATTAAACTGGTGGCTCAGGGAAATATTGTAGGTACAGTTTACTTAAATTTTATCAAAGCATTTTATTGTCTCATGTTATTCTTGTGGAAAAGATAGAGAGATGTAGACTAGACAGAAATTCTGTTTGAATGACTAGAAATAAAGAGTAGTCGTTAATAGTTCAATGTCTGTTTAAACCTTTTACTAATGATTTGGGTAAAGGCATAGATGTCATGCTTATTGAATTGCAGATGATGTAAAGCTAGGCAGGATAACTAACAAATTGAATGACAGAATCAGTATTCAAAAAAAATCTGACAGACCAGAACATTTGGCCCAGTGTAATAAGATGAAATTTAATAGGGATAAGTGTCAAATCTTATATTTGGGTTAAACCAATCAACTTTAAATAAGACAAAGTGTGGCTAGACAAGCAGCTGGTCTGAAAAAGATCTGAGGGTTTTAAATGATCACAAGCTCAGTAGTAAGAGCCAACATTGTGATTGACATAGCAGATAAGAAAGTTAAAGTAACCAAGAGAGACTCAACATCCAGGAATGGGTGAGAATGGGTGATAGTGCTACTATACTCTAATCTGGGCAGACTACATCTATAGTATCAAATATTGCTAGCCACAAAAACCCACAGGTCTTCCCCAGAGCAATTGTTTAACATCACTTCCCCCATCCTCTGATTGTGTACCTGATTTTTTTTAACCCAAATGTAGAATTTTATATTGATTTCTGCTAAATTTTATCTTACTACATTTGATCTAATGTGGGCACCAAATCTTAAAAAGTGCAGGGATAAGTTAAAGAAAGTTCAAAGAAAGGCAACCAGGGTCATAGGGTTTAGAGGTCCCCTAGATCAACCCACCCATGAGTCCACAGTATCATTCAGATTAGGGAACTGAGGCCCAGAAAGGTTGAGTGACTTATCCAAGGTCACTCAGATAGTGAAAGGCAGAGCTATGATTTCAGCCCAGTGCCTCTGACTCCAAATCTAGCATTGTCTCCACAGCTAGCAAAGGGCCTTGAGTTCATACCATATGAGGATCAGTTGAAGAACCTGGGAATGTTTATCCTGAAGAAGACGAGGCTTAGCAGGGGACACAGTAACTGTCTTCAAGTATATGAAGAAGGGCTGTCAGATTGAAAAAGAATTAGATGAGCTCTGCTTGCCCATAGGTCCTAGGAACAATGGGTAGAAACTGCAAAGGAGGAAAATTTTGGTTTATCATAAAGAAAACATTCCAAATAGTTAGAACTATCCAAAAGTACACTGGGTCACCTCAGTGGATAGTGGGTTCCCCCTTACTTTGGGTTTCTAAATCAGATATGTTGGAGAGGGGATCCTTTTTCAAGGGGTCCTTGAACTAGATGACCTGGGAGCCCTTCCATCTCTGAAGTTCTGTGAACTTTCCAGTCATTATTGTGCTTAGTAGTCATTTTGACCACTGGTGTAGTATATTCTCCTGTTGATCTCCATTAGCTTCTCTAGAGGTCAAAATTGAGTATACGTTTTTTCCCAATTTAGTGCTTTCAAGTTATATATGGCATCTAAAGTGCCCATTGTATCCAGAATAACTCTTTTTCTTTACCAATTGTGCTATTTTTTAATGTGTGTATATGTGTGTGTATCTGAGATTCAAACCAGTTTTAAAGGTGGCCACTGTTTTTTCTGCCTTTCTATTGCTAAGGTCTGATCCTATGACAATTACTAAAAATTGTACTCACTTTGGCTTAGAATATAACCTGCCAGTTTCTGAGAGTGTATCATATTATGACTGACACCAGAGCCTTTTATGCCTATGAGAAAAAAGTTTCCAGATATTTCCATTTTATTTGAGGGCACACATTGCAGTCCTGTTCCATACACTCAACCAACCAACCAGCCAATGTCAGTAATGTGCCAGTCCTGATACTTAATCAAAATGAAGTACTTAACCAAAAGAGGAGAAAATGGATCCTGTGAGATATCCAGCCTTGAAAATCAAAGGAAATAAATTAGAAAATAGTCAGACTATTAAGCTTGGAGCCCTAGTATTAAGCTAAATGGACTCCTTAATATCCCTTCCATGACTGGGATTTTAGAATGTAGTTCCTAACTTAAATACAATTCCTAAATTTTTAGTAGCTATCATTCTGTAGTTTAGTGTAAAATTCACTTTTGAAAAATTAAATCTGGGATAATTATATTGAGTAGCACCTACAATTTAAAAAAATTTTTTTTAATGCCATTAGTATCAGGACCAATGAATCTGTGTGGTTTAATGGAAGGAGTCCTGGAATTGGAGGCAGAAAACCTGGGTTCAATTCCTGGTTCCACTAATTTCTATTGACATAACTTCAGGGAAATCATTTTGCCTTTGTGGGCTTCAGATTCCCAATTTGCAAAATAAGATGGGGTTGAACTAGATGACCAGTAAGGTCTATTCTAGCTCTAAAACCTGTGAAAAGTATCCAGACTTAAGTAATTTGATGACATTATATTTTCAGGTGTAAATCTTCTACTTTGGGGCAACTTGCCAGAAGCAGAAGAAAGTACAGATGAAGATACGTTAGACATTTCCGAGGAGGAATATATTAGATGAATGGAAACAACGATGTGTATATTATATGAGAACTCTCTTTTTCCTATTTAAAAAAACCACAAAACCAAATATTTTAATGAATGAACTATAAAACTGTAAATAAACAGACCAAAGGATTTATTGACAGTTTTTTTTTCAAAAAGAAAAGATTGTATACTCATTGATTTACTCAACAACTGCCTTAGTTTGATTTGTTTCTGTATAACTACCAGTAGTTCATTTGGATTTTTTCATACTGGTGCATTCTTAAATTCAGACAGGAGATGGTTCTCAATCTCCTTCAAGTGTCATTGTGCTCTCTCATCTCCTAATCTAAGGAAATGTTTCTTCTATCTTGATGCCAAATAATTTTAATTTTAAATTGCTAGAATAAGTGCAATGGTACTAACAGATAATCCATGTCTTACTGAGTCTTAACAGATGATAATAAAGCAGGCTGTCAGGTTTTCATAGGTATTAACTATCATATTTTCTTTTAGTGAAAAATGTCTCTGCTCTAGAGCAAGAATACTTATGAATTAGCAAGTAAGTAAATGAAAACTTGCCCCATGTAGTAACATTCCCAGGAGGAATAACCTTGCCAAGAAAGTCAGTTAAATGGGTTTGTTTAAGGGATTTCAATACCTACCGTTTTCAAATGTTGCATATCAGAAGCCATTACAAATATTACTTTATGACTGCTTCTGTCCATTTCTTTCCCCTTCCCTTGCCTTCCTTTATAAATGATCAATTTCAATAGGTGAATAGTTTTGCCCCTCAAGTCACACAAAAAGGTAAAACTAAGAAGTGATTTGCCTATCCCTTAATAAGTTGCACAAGTTTATTCCATACAAAGAAGAGATTTTTAAAGCCTTTCAGGACTAAAAAGTCAGGAAACTTTTGGATTCTTGTCATATGTAAAGCTAATGTTTATCATAGTTTTGTAAATATCTCCATGGGAAGCTTTAAAATGTTTTATTGATGCCTTCTGTTGTTTTGTCACAATCATTTTCAAGTATCCATCCTAACATGACCCAGTGAAGCCCTCATTGTAACAAAGAAAAACAGTTAAGCAACACAACTTAAAAACGGTGTCTGACAGTGTATGTCATATTCCATACCCATAGCTCCTCTCCTTTCCTCTTTGCCCTTCTTCTTCTCATCTTTGGAGCCAAGATTTGTCATTGCAATTACTCAGGATTCACCTTCATTTTAATGTCTTTTTCCCTTTATTGTTTACATTATTGTACATTTAGCATTGTTTACGTGATCATACTTACTGTGTATATTTTTTTCCTGGTTCTGCTTACTTCAGTCTACATCAGTTCATACAAGTTTTCCATGGGAGGCATTTTGGCAATTGTAATTCCAAGATAGACTGAATTATGGATTTGCAAATAAATACTGTTCTATTGTTGTATACTGACATCCTTTTTCAAAAAAGGAACAAAAACCTGTCCTTCTTCCAGGAACTGCACCCATAATAGAAAGCAAGAAATAGTACTATCAACTATATCTATCCAGCACACATTGGAACTTAACCTGGATGAGGACATGTGACCTCACTCCTCAATTTCAAGGTTGAATAAACTGGTAAATAATGATAATATTTCTATTTTAAAAGTTTGTAATTTTGTTAATTTTTGGTCCTTTCTCACTGGCACAGATCACAACCCCTCTGCACTTTAATAGGTAGTTGTCATGAGCAGTAATGGTTAAAAAATTCTTACCTAGGTAAAAACAGTGACTTACTTGAGCTCTCCCCCAAACCCCTCCAAATACTTGTAAAAAAAAATGGCTCTGAACAAATTCTAGAGCAGCAGAACCCACAAAAAGACAGAGTGAAACAAATTTCCAGCCCAAGATAGCCTGGTTGATTGGAAAGGTCTATTGTTCCAGGCTGGGAAAGGAAAACAGCTCAGCTTGGGCACGCAGGCAAAGACCAGACCTCAGCAAACTTGGAGCAGGCCTCAGGGGACTGAATCACTAGCAGCTCTAGCAATTTCCAGACTTTTCAACCCACAAACGCCAAAGACAACTTAGAAGGTCAGTAGGAAAGGTCTGTGACCAAGGTGAGAAAGAAACTCGGTCCCAGCCCCAGTCTCGGCACAGCCCTGGGGCAGTGGCTTCTTCTGGAGCTCTTGGCCCACAGACAGTGGGGGAATTCAGTGGCTGATCAAAGGGGGATTGCAGGGATCTCTTTGCTGGCACTGAGGCAGATTTCTCTTGCTTTGCCTGTGCTTGAATCTGGGTCACAGTTCTGGGTGGCAGTCCTGGGGCAAGGAGGAGTGCTGGCTTGGTGGAGCTTGTAGTGGTGGTAGAGAGGGAATCCTCCTCACAGTTCCAAGGCAGAAAAGAATGCTTGTGATCACTCATAGACCAGAGCACAGGCCAGGAAAGGAGTAAACACCTCACCTTTGATCATACCACCTTGGAAGAAAATTTACAGGTCCCTAGAAGTATCTCTGAAAACAGTTGCACAAAACCCCCAAAGCTTGGGAAAGTACATTCTCCACACTGGAAGCAGACTCCTACCTTAACAAAGAGTTTAAAACTCAAGTAATTGGCTGGGAACATGAGCAAACTACGCAAAAAAAAGTCAGACCATAGAATCTTTCTTTGATGACAAAGAAGATCAAAACATACAACCCGAAAAAGACAACAAAGTCAAAACTCCTACATCCAAAGCCTCTAAGAAAATATGAATTGGTCCCAGACCATGAAAGAGCTCAAAAATGATTTGAGAAGCAAGTAAGAAAAGTACAGGAAAAACTAGGAGGAGAAATGAGAGTGATGCAAGAAAATCATGAAAAACAACAGCTTGCTAAAGGAGACCCAAAAAAATACTGAAGAAAATAACACCTTAAAAAATAGCCCAACCCAAATGGCAAAAGAGGTCCAAAAAGCCAATGAGGAGAAGAATGCCTTAAAAAGCAGAATTGACCAAATGGAAAAGGAAGTCCAAAAGCTCACTGAAGAAAATACTTCCTTAAAAATTAGAATGGAGCAAATGGAAGCTAGTGACTTTATGACAAATCAAGACATTGTAAAACAAAACCAAAAGAATGAAAAAAAAAAGACAATGTGAAATATCTCACTGGAAAAACAACTGACCTGGAGAGAGAATTTTAAAATTGTTGGACTATCTGAAAGCCATGAAGAAAAAAAGAGCCCAGACATCATCTTTCCAGAAATTATCAAGGAAAACTACCCTGATATTTTAGAACCAGAGGGAAAAATAGAAATTGAAAGAATTCACCAATCACCTCCTGAAAGAAATCCCCAAAGGAAAGCTCCTAGGAATATTGTAAACAAATTCCAGAGTTCCCAGGTCAAGGAGAAAATATTACAAGCAGCCAGAAAGAAACAATTCAAGTATTGTGGAAACACAATCAGGATTACACAAGATTTAGCAAGCTTCTACATTAAGGGACCGGAGGGCTTGGAATATAATATTCCAGAGGGCAAAGGAGATAGGATTACAGCCAAGAATCACCTATCCAGCAAAACTGAGTATACCCCTTCAGGGGAAAATGGACATTCAGTGAAAGAGAGGACTTTCAAGCATTCTTGATGAAAAGACCAGAGCTGAATAGAAAATTTGACTTTCCAATACAAGACTCAAGTGGAACATGAAGAGGTAAACCGGAAAGAGAAATCATAAGGGACTTATTAAGGTTGAACTGTTTACATTCCTGTATGGAAAGATGATATTTGTAACACATGAGACCTTTATCAGTATTAGGGTAATTGGAGGGAAATAATTACGTATAGATAGATAGATAGATAGATAGATAGATAGATAGATAGATAGATAGGTAGGTAGGTAGGTAAGTAGATAGAGGACACAGGGTGAGTTGAAGATGAAAGGATGATAACTAGAGAATAAAATTAAGGGGTGAGAGAGGATTATGCTGGGAGAAGGAGAAAGGGAGAGGTAGAATGGGGTAAATTATCTCACATGAAACAGACAAGAAAAGGCTTTTACAGTGGAGGGGAAGTGGGGGAAGGTGAGAGGGAATGAGATTTGGCTTAAGGAGGGAATAACATACACTCAGTTGGGTATGGAAATCTATCTTACCCTACAGGAAAATGGGGGGAAGGGGATAAGAGAGCGAGGGATGATAGAAGGGAGGGCAGATTGAAGCAAACACTTCTGAGGAGGGACAGGGTCAAAAGAGAGAACAGAATAAACAGGATGGGGGGGTGGGATAGGATGAAGGGAAATATAGTTAGCTTTTCACAACATGACTACTATGGAAGTGTTTTGCATGACTACACATGTATAACCTATATCGAGTTGCTTACATTCTCAATGAGGGTGGGTAGGGAGGGAGGGAGAAAATTTGGAACCCAAAGTTGTAAAAACAAATGTTAAAAATTGTTTTCACATGCAACTGGGAAATAAGATATACAGGCAATGGGGTATAGAAATCTATCCTGCCCTACAGGAAAATAGAAGGGGAAGGGGATAAGAGAAGGGGCAGGGGATAGAAGGGAGGGCAGATTAGGAGAAAGGTGTGGGGAGGGACGAGATGGGGAGAAAATTTGGAACTCAAAATCTTATGGAAGTGAAATGTTGAAAACAAAATAAATTAATTAATTTGAAAAAATCTTTATCTGGTAGACAGCTCTCTAGTGTTATATAAACAGGCTTAATTCTTCAAAGATAGACACACAGTCACCAGGTCATTATTCTGGAGTCTTTTTCATATTGCTATACCTTCTAGGTTCTTCTCTGCTGACACAGCATTTCTTGAGACCTCAGATTTACCTCCATACCATGATGAGGGTATAAAGAGGGTAGGACTTTAGCTGATGGGTAATTTTTTTTAAGTAGTGTTTCATAATAACAGCTCATAATGTTTTAGAGTTCACAACAACAGTGTGAGATCAGTAGTACAGAAGAAAGGTTCAAATAGAAGAAACATTTTACAGATGAGGAAACTGAGGCTCAAGTGAAGTAATTTGCCCAAGGTCACACAAGTAGCAGTATAGGGTTACAAAGCCTGGTTCTGACTCCAAATCCAACACTGTTTCTATTGTCCCAGCCTTTTTCTCCAGGCCACATAGTAAGTGTCAGAGCCAAGGCTTGAAGTTGTTTATCTTTTACATTATGCCACTGGTATGAGAATCAAACCCAAAATATAACCTTAACCATGATGATGGGCAGAATCATTGGCCTCAAGCAAAGCAATAGGATGCTTTTTGAAATAATAGTACAAGTAGCAGAATAATGTTGGGGCTTTTTTCCTAAACTATATTATCTAATAGTGTCAATGTCTCTTCTCCAAAAGACTAAGGAAATTCAACCTAGAAGAGAAGACTGTGGGGTTAGGGAGGAGGGTGTAGGAGGGAATGAAAACTTTCATGCTGAACTATAGTATTTGACAAAGTGTCACCAGGAAGATAAGAGGGATGAAGGAGTGTCTGTGTAGTTGCTTCTTAGTGATTCAATTAGAGGAGATAAAAAGTTCAATATAGAAATAGAGAGTGTGGCAAGAGCCTAATTCAATGAAGAGTCCCTCTGCTTCCTGTCCTGCTTAAAGGCAATGGTTGGCTGACTCTTCTAAGAGAAAAAGCAAGGCGATGGCAGTAGTGATTAAACCAAGACCCAAAGGTCATTCCACTTCAGCTGGGGTGAGTATTCCTGCTACTCATTTGGCCTTTGGTTAAATACAGTTTCAGTGAGGACTATTTGTGAAAAGAAAATAATCATTTGATAGCCACCAAAGCTGAACTAGCAGAGGGATTATAGTTGACAAGATTCTAGGACAAATAACTTTTAAGAAGGCATTATCTTGTAAGATGTGAGTCTTTTCCTCTTTCACAAAGAGGTCCAGTGACCTTTCTAAGGAAGCCAGAGCTAACCTCTCTGAAATGTAACAGACCTTATCTGGTCTACCTCAATTGCTAATATTGGGTCAGAAGACCTGCATTCAAATTGTCTCTACCCCTTACTAGCTATGGACAAATCACTTAGTTTTTCTAGACCTCAATTTATTCTTATGTCAAAAAGCAACAATAATACTCTTCCTTTGTCACAGGATATTTAAACCTTAAAGTTTTATGCAAATGTGAGTTGTTATATGTGACTGCATTTATGGACTCATTAATATGGCTACTTTGTCTACTGGTATAGATGCAACCTATCCATGGAATCTCATCTGGTGTGGCTTTTATCTATACCTTTTCACAAATTCTCTCAGAAGTTCTAGCCAACACATTGGATAAGCTCCTCTAGGTCTTTTAGTATTTCATGGGCAACAATGCAACACTCAGGCTAACCATCATAGTGAATAGAGACCTGCACTTAGGGCTAGGGAGAACTGAATTTTAATCCTGCCTCAAATATTTACTAACTGGATGATCTTGAACCTCTCTCAACCTCAGTTTCTTCATCTGTAAAATAGGAATAATATCCATAGCACTTACCTCATATAATTATTGCAAGTATCAAACAAAATACTGTATGTAAAAGCTTTGTAAACTTTGAAGTACTATGTAAATGTCAGTTTATTATTATCCCTGACTCGATACCCATAAGCAAGCCATCTCTTCATAAGGTCATATAAATCTTTGATGATG